GCTACATATTATTCTAGTACATTAATGTATTATTTCAATGCTTTGCAAACCTTTTTTCTTACATACTGTAAAATTGTATAAAAGTTATCTACTTTCTTGCATATTTTAGGTTATCTATTTTTTTACCTTGTTATGGTATATTATCAACACTAACAGTCTTAAATAAAGCTGTTACATCATTCTTTTAAATTTCTTCAGTGGAACCTGCAAACCACAGAAATTTGATGACTAGTATCATTCAGTTAAAAAATACACAAATAGGGTTGGGGGTGAGGCTCAAGTGGTAGAGCACCTGCCCAGTAAGCATGAGGCCCTGAGTTAAAAGCCCAGTACTTTCAGGAAAAAAAAGACTACTAAGATCTTTTAACACTAAAAAAATTTAAGTTGTTCCTTTTTTACCTTAAATTTGGATTTCATTCTGTTTCCCCCGCAGAACTTATCTTTCAAAGTATTTTATTGACTACCATATCCAATTTGGCACATAATGTCATTAGATCTCTGTGACTATTAAATATTTCTTCTAGATTGAGTTAATATTATAGTTAAATACCATAAATTTATTTTAAATTTTGGTAAATACTTACTGAACAAAAGAAATTTTATTAGAAATGCATTTCTTAAAACCAAAAAAGAAAAAAAATTATATTTCTATTTTTCAATAGTTCACGTAGTCATAAATAAATATTCCTTATTGCTAGCAGAATATATAGTGTTCAAGTATCTATTCAAATTCTATTTTTTATAGCTATAAGAAACCTTGTTTATATGATAATATAGATGCGAATTAAATGACTTCTATAATTGCAATGCCACTTGGTTCTTTACACTCACTTTGAATTATAGGCCAAAAAGTATTTTGAGTGTTCTATCACTAACAGCTTTATTTTTGTCCTTCAGTTTTTGTTTAACAAAGTTAAAGAATTGGAAACCATCTGACTTAAAGTGTAAAACTATGCTTATTTATTAGGGTTGATTCACTTTCTTGACACCATACCAGTATTTCAAAGTGTCCCTTTGGCAGGGGGTGGGTCACCAGGTAATGCAAAACAATAGTTTCAGGATAAGAAGGTGTATCTTTTTTGTATAATGTGGAAGGCAAGGAAACAGCCTTAACCAATTGTGCAGGCAGAATAATTTTAGAAAGTGAACACTGGGAAATTGAAGATCTAGAAATTAAATTCCTCAAACTATCTGTACCCACATACTCCTTGGAGATCTTTGTATACTCTTAAGGGTATGTGTACCCCAGTTCAATGATCCCTGACTTACCCAAGCCTCTGTTGGTAATTTCAGGGTAGCACATAGGTTTTCATATTTTCAGTAATACCACTTGAGCACATTGACATTGTGGTATCTTGCCATATTGCCCTTTCTACTCCTTTATATATTCTCATCTCCAGTACATGAAAGTGTTTATTTTCTTACACTTTAGTCAGTACTACATACTACCAGTTTTTATTGTTAGTTGTCAGTCTGATAGCAGAAAGTAGTTCATATTTGTCCTTTTTTATTGGTAATGACATAAGTATCTTATGTATGTGTCCACTGACCATTTGTATTTCTTCCTCCAATTTCCTTGTTTCTATACTTTGCCAGTGTTTCAGTTAGGAGATAGTACTTCTTATTGATTTGAGGGAACCCTTGATCTACTGTAGATATTAACCTGTCATACATTTTGCTGGTGTTTATGTGTGTCAGCTGATTATACTAGCTTTTACATAATAGAACTTTTAGATGGTCATGAATCTTCAAATTTCTCCCATATGGCTTCGTATCATGCTATACTTATAGATTTTGTACTGTGTTTCCTTTAAGTGGGTTATTGTTTATTTTTTTAACATATAAATATTTAATCCATTTAGAATTTATTTTATGATATAATATGAAGTTGGGTTCTAATTTTTCTCCAATAGATAGTCACCATTTATTGAATAATTTGTCCTTTTCTTGCTGACTGAAAAAGAAACTGTAAGCTGGGCAACAAGTGTAAAATAGGCCGGCCTGGGCAAAAAGCAAGACCCTATCTACAAAATAACCAGAGCATAAATGGCTGGAGGTGTGGCTCAAGCAGTAGAATGTTTGGTTAGCAAGTGTGAAGCCCTGAGTTCAAACCTAAGTACTGCAAAAAAAAAAAAAAAAGAAAAGGAAGGAAAGAAATAAAGAAGAGGGAGGGGAGGGAAAGAGAGAGAAAGCCACTGTTACAGTATTCTAGTTCCTTACATATTCCTGGTTTGCATTTGCAAGCTTTGAAACTGTCTTATTTCCTGCCTCCTGTGATTTACTTACTCAGTCTCTTCACTACTAGCACAATTATTGTCCTGGAACACAGATTGTATCAGATCACTCATATGCAAACACTTTTCAAGGGTTCCATTGCCTACCAAAAAAGAGACCAAACTTGTTAGCCAGTTCTAGTCCTAAACTACTTTTCTAGCCACATTGCCCTATGGCTCTCTGCTCTTCAAACATAACATGTGTTTTCATGTATTTATACCTTTGTTCCTGTTGTTCCCTTGGCTAGAATTAGTCTCCATATCTCCGTTTTTTGGAGACAGGATCTTGTTATATAGCCAAGGCTGGACTTGTACTTGGAGATGATTCTGCCTTAGTCTGCTGAGTGCTGGGATTATAGGCATGGCTTGCCACATCTCCCATTCTTTTCTTATCAACTCTCCTTTCCTTTTAAGGCCTACTGTAAATCCTTACCAAGGTCCCCTCTGTATTTTTTCATTTGATCTCTTAATTATTACTGTTTACCTTCTTATTTCCCAAAATAGTTTATCAACTTCTTGAGGGTAAAGAGGGCCTTGTTAGTCCTTTATCTTCCTTTATCATCTTTCATCTAGGCAATCTTTAGAAAATGCTCATTAAATAGAATTGAATCTGATTACAAACACACACACACACACACACACATATCCATATCCTCCAAAAAGTTAGTAAATAAAAACCATTGCATTAGGCAGGGGTCCCCAGGTTTGGTGGTTTACTAGGAGGACTAAGAGAACTCAGTATCTGGTTGCACTTGTATGAGACTAATTTATTACAATGGAAGGATACAGTAAAATCAGCCAAAGGAAAAGGTGTATGGGGCAGTCTGGAGGAAACCAGGTACAAATTTCCAAGGATCTTCTCCCAGTGGAGTCACAGGACATACTCTATTCACATGTGTTAAGACAGCACATGTGAAATGTTTCCAACCTGTGAACTTCATTGGAGACTCAGTGCCCAGGGTTTTTGCTGGGTGCTTATTATGTAGTAGCCTCTTACCAGGCACACACCAAAATTCTAGTTTTCCAAAAGCAAAGCAAATGTTCAGCATAAACCACATTATCTACATACTTTCAACATTTATCAGTTAATGACAGGAACCTTCCTGAGAGCTAAGTTTCTAGCTGCCAGCCAGAAGCCAACTTTTTAAGCAGGCCTTTCCAAGGACATCAGTCAGAACAGCTGTGTTAAACCATATTTTTGAAGAGCTTAATTTCACAGATGATCACAGCCCCAAGGGAGGAGAAGATCAATATGGTAGGGATGAGTCTGGGATCTATTCTAAGTACTTTCACTAATCGTTTCTTTACAGAGGAGGTAGGTTACAAGTTGAGGCAGGGAGAAGAACAAGACATAGAAAAGGGCTAAAGCTAAAGATTCATGCTTGGCAATATGCTGTGGGGTTAGGGAGAAATGCGAATGTGAAAATAAGAGACAGTCTCAAAATCTGGGGTAAAATATTTACAATTTGATGTGGTAGCAGTGGGATATCTTCCTAGACTGAGAAGGGAGCTTGTATATCTAGTTCAACATTCTGTATAAAATAGGCTTTCAAATTGTTGAAGAGTGGGAAGTGAATTTGAAAGGTGATATTGAAGAAACTATGTTAAGGGTAAAAGTAGTTGAAAATAAATTTCACATTTTATAAACAAGATATTTCTATTGAAATTTTCTTTAGAATTATTGTATTTATAGTTTCCTTTTAAAGTTGTTAGTAGATAACAGATACTTTGTTTGAAGACAAATTTATATGATTTTATATTGTATAATAAGAAATGAAATAGGATACAATGAAGCCTACCTCTATTTAAAGAAATTATGTTAACAAAAATATATGTGTGTGTACTTTGAACAGTTCATTAACCAAAATAAAAAGAATAAGATTTTTCTGTCACCAGTATTTTTGTTTGAATTAAACATTTCCATACTCATATAAATGCCAAAAATAAATCAAAACTTTTAAATTTCTTTCAGTTTTAGTAATGTAAGATCCTAATAAAAGGTAAGGATATGTGTATTAATAAATTTTAATTTTTAATGTCCCTAAAAAACATGTCATTCTACCATTTTTGGTTTTATTAGTTGCATGGTCTTATGTCCAGTTTGTGGTTGGTAATTAACGTTTTGCATAGTATCACAATATAAAATCCACATTCATTACCCTTTAATCAGTCTTACTGTTCTTGTGAATTCCTTTTTGTATATTTATTAAAACTTTATATTTCTTATGTTGTCATTAACTATCTGAAAGCAAGAAAGCTCTTCCCCCTCTAATAGCTTTCGCTGCAGTTATCAGTTATTAGAAGAGTCCATATAGTTTTAGAATTAGAGATACTATATGATGAAAAAGATAAAATATTAGTTTGAGGTTGTGTTTATGTTATGTTAGGCTCTGTACGAGACTAAGGTTTGAGTCTTGAGCTTATGAAAAGGATGCCCCACTGAAACTCAAGTAGCAGAATGCTATTTTCATCACTTTACTAATACCAGTGTTATGTAGTATCATGTGTTTTTTGTCCCACTGACTTATCATTAGATATCTGCTTTGATGTGTTCTGTTGTCACTTTGCATCTTTGGGATTCCACATACCCTATGGGGATCTCAAGGTGCAAGTAGTACTATATAAAGTAAACTGTTTCAAAAATTGCAGTGTGAATAAAACTCTAGCTCAGATGTTACAACTGTCTCTCTTTTTGAAACCTGTATTTCTCTTGTTTTCTCTTTGTAGGAATATGTAAATGTTGCCACAGAAACCTAGTCTGGAATTGTTGCAAATGAAAACGACACTACAAGAGGATAGTTGAGAGCATCTCTTTTTGTCAGGAGTTAGAATTGTCACTAAGGCACTAATACTGTAACTTTAAATAACTTTATTTTTCAGTAGTAGAATGCTGCAACTTTTTTACACCTAACAACTGCTTTTAAATTACATTATTCAATTTAAAAGTTGTATTAACTATAGTTTCTTTTGCAAAAAGTCTCAATAGAATCACTTGAAGGGCATTATTTGTTGATGCATTTTTCTCTGAGCATGGTTTCACTGAGAGACTTTAACCAAGTTATATCCAGACATTTATATGTTGAAAGCTTTGTTTATGTAATAAAAGTATTAGAATTGTATAGTGTCTGTACATGAAAGAACTTTAAACAGTGGCCTTATTATAGTAGCAAATTTTATACTGGGTTTTTTCTTTTTCTGATAACATTTTGGCTTATAACTTGAAGTTTTCTTAAGTTTCTGAAGATCAAGGCCTATATAATTCATACATTTCATAATACAATATAAGAAGGCTAGAGAAAAGGTGCTTCAACTTTTCCATCAGGTAGTTGTGAGTGCAGTTTTTAGTAATACGTTCATTCATTTTTTTCCACAACTATTTGCTCTTTTCCAGTTTCAAGATGCTATTGTGGAAAATATGTAACAATTTTATAATCTATATTCCATCTTATTTTTCCCTCAGGGCAAGCTTGTGCATATCATATTTTTAAAGGCTTTTAAAAATCTGACAGACAAAAATCTCATATTTGAAAATTGTACTTTACTACTACAGCATTATACATTTTGCAAGTACATCTTATAAAGTGTTTATTTTCAATTCAGTTCATATGTATTGCATACCTACTATGTGTAAGATAGAATTGATGGGTTTTAAATGCAGTTTTTAGGTCCTAGTACCTTATTTCTTCATGAATTCTGTGTTCTGCTTAATAGTACATATACATTCCCAGTTAAATTTTTTTGTGAAAAGTTTATTTGTAATAAAATAAAATATTGTTGCTCTTTCTGCTTGAAGAAGCTATTTGTCAATTTGTGAGAACATTATTTTAATTTTCTGTGAGACTTACAGCCTTGAGAAGGAGCTGCCGATGTTTAACACTGGTCAGAGCCTAAGAAGACAGAGCTTTCTAAATCAAAATATGAAGGTTGGTAACAACTTAGTTTTATAACTGTACTATGAAAAATCTAACTACAAACATTTAACTTTTTACATGTGTTGAAAGATGGGACAATCTCTCCCTTAAATGGGTCAGTGCTAAGGGGGACAAGAGCACTTGATTCATTACTAACTGGATAATAAGTTTAGGTAGGTGACCTTTCTTCTCTATAGGTTAGGTTTTTCACACATATTTAATGTTCTGCTTGTGGTAAGCAAGAAATACAAGTACATAGTAGTATGGCAACTTTATGTTGTATAGGTACTTATAAAATCTCTTATGTATTTTGAGGGGGAGCAATACTGGAGCTTAAACTCAGGGCCTGTGCTCGCTAGGCATGCACTCTATTACTTGAGCCACTCCCCCAGCCTTTTTGCTTCAGCTGTTTTTTGAATGGGGTCTTGCACTTATGTCTGGGCTAGCCTGAACCACAGTTCTCCTATTTATACTTCCAATGTAGCTGGGATGACAGGTACATGTCACCATGCCCAACTTTTCTTTATTTTTTGAGATGGGGTTTTACGAAGGTTTTTGCCTGGGCTGACCTCAAACTGTGATCCTCCTAATCTCTGCCTCCCAAGTAGCTAGGATTACAGGCAAGAGCCACTGCGCCTGACCTAATCAGTTCAATTTTAAAATAGTTGATTCCACTTGTTTCCATATTCTAGGAGACAGTTATGAGCCTTGAATATTTAATTATTTGATAGACAGCTATGTATTTCACAGATGCTAAAATTACAGCAATGAACAAGAGGACAGACACATATGGACTCTTGTCTTTATAGTAAAAACAATCCTATAGGAAAAATGGACATTGAACATAGAAATGAAACCCGGTAAACAACATTGATTCTATAGCTCTGTTTTTATGTATTGTTATACCTAAGGATAAGACAGTTGATTTAATGTTACTTATTCCACAACCAATTCCCTATTTAGGCATACTTGGATATACTTTTGGCACTGCCTCAAAATTCAAATCACATTATTTACTAAAGTATCTTTTCAGAAAACATTGTGTGTGTAAGATATAAAGCCTAAAAAGAAATTCTCTGTTTATAATTTAGAGTGTAAAATAAGGACAGGGACCATCAGTCTTGTTTACCATAATATCCCCAGCACCTAACACTGTACTTGACACTTATAGGGACTCATTCAATATTACTTGAATGATGAATGATTAGTGAGTAAAGCAGGTTTATTAGAATCTACATATCTAATTTTCATATGGAAATTGAGCAAAAGCTTATCCATGGCATTTTTAGTTGACTAAAAAGGATCCAAATCCTTTTTTTTTTTTTTGTGGTGGTACTGGGGGTTGAACTCAGGGCCTTGAGCTTATTAGGCAAGTGCTCTACTACTTGAGCCATGCCATGCCCCCAGTCCTTTTGCTTTTAGTTTATTTTTCAGATATGTTCTCATGTTAACTGCCTGAGCTGGCTTCAGAACACAATCCATCTACCTCCTCTTCCTGAGTAGCTGGGATTACAACCATGAACCACCATGCCCAGCCTAGAATCTGAATTATTGAATGCATGAGACTCGAGAGGTTTTATGAGTTTCATACCATTGCTTTCTCCCACTTTTCCCCACTGCATGCTAGCTTCACTGGCACTAGGAAGACAAAGATAGTGGCACTAGGAAGACAAAGATAATGAAACCTCATGATTGCTCTGAAGAATCTCAAACTATTGCAGAAGAGATTAACAAAGACAACTGCAGCATAGAATATTAAGTACTATAACAGAAATAAACACAAGAGAATGGGAGAAAAGTTGACATTCTTGGTTGAGTATCCCCTCTTCAAATTTCTTTGCTATTGACTTCAAACCCTCATGTCACCACACCCAAAACTAAGTTGTTTACTTGTAACATATGACTTCCAAGAAATCAGAAGAAATGATAGCCAAACCCCATAAAGCAACAAGATTTCACTTACATCCTATAAGGAAAGTAACCTTGATATGACTAATATTTATGCCTTGTACCTACTTTCCTCCTCTTCTGTCAAACTCACCAACTCTGTTGAGCTCATTGCAGCTCCTTTCTGTTTTGTAGAGTGGATGCTGCCTGGTTCATGAATCATTAATAAAAGCCAATCACATCTTTGTAATTCAGCTTGTTGAAATTTTGTTCTTCAACAAAGTACATAGAATGTTAGAAAAATTCATAATCTCACTGTTCATAAATATTTGCTATAACATTTTGGTATTTTTCAATTAGTCTCTTTCAGGACTTTATATTTTGGTAGTTGACATTCTAGTTTATGTATATTCAGTCTTTGCAGGTACTCACATACCTGTTTAAAACATGTTTTAAGTTTATATGACATTCAGTTGCACCTATTGTAGAGGACAAAGAATAGAATCCCATTCCCAGAAGGCTAAAAATGTCTTATAAAATCCTGAATTATGTTAAGATTTAGCAGATATTTTTGCTGAACACATCATTTAAGATATTAAAAGCCAGATTAAACTTTACAGATAATCTTCTAAAGTAAATATTTTTTGTGGTGCTTGCTATGCAGGCTCTCTATCACTTGAGCCATTCCATGAGCCCTACGGTAAATATTTTTGAACTTAGGGTCTCATACTTGGTAGGCAGGTACTGTACCATTTGAGCCACACCCCCAGGCCTTTTTTGCTTTCGTTATTTTCCCCATAGGATCTTGTGTTTTTGCCTGGATTCAGCCTCAGACTGTGACCCTTCTACCTATGCCTCCAGCATAGCTGGGATTGCGGATATGTACCACCACACCCAGCTTATTTGTTGAGATGGGGTTCTTCCTAATTTTTGGCTTAGACTGGCCTGAAACCACAATCCTCCATATCCCTACTTCCTGAGTAGCTGTGATTACAAATATGAAGCACTGCACCCAGCTCTTGAAGTAAATTCTTACCTCAAATTCTAATCCCTTCTAATGATAGTTAAAGTAATGTTTAGTTAAAAGAAATTGACTTTAATGTTGAGAACTGCTTGTTGATAACAATTTGTGCAAGAGACTGCAGGGAACACAATGCTACTAACTTAATGGTCTCTTAACTGTTGTGAAAAAAAGTTGCCAAAATGTTCCTCAAAAAGCTAAACATAGAATTACCATATGGCCCAACAACTCCTCTCCTCGGTATAGATCCAAAAGAATTAAAAACGGAAACTCAGATACTTGTATAGCAATGTTCACTGCAATGTTATTCACAATAGCCAAAAGGTATAAATAACCCAAATGTCTGTCAGCAGATGAATGGATAAACAAAATGTGGTATACCGTACAATGGAATCTTAATTGGCCAGAAAATAAATGAAGTTCTGCTGCACATTACAAAGTTGAATCTTGAAAAATTATGCTACTGAAATAAAGCCAACCAGAAGTGAACAAATACATGATTCTACTATTGTATGAAATAATTCGAATAGTTTGGAAATCACTGTCTTTATTTTGAAAATATTTCTCCATTGCTTTTGCTCCCACTTTTTATATATGAACTGTTTTTCTCTTTTAACATCTGAAGGATTTAGTATTTTCCATTTTTCTATGATAATTTTGAAATTTATCAGTGACAGGTCCTTTGGGGTACGGGTCTTTTATTCTTTGTACTGAGTTCTTGATGGGCCACTTGCATTTGTCTCTCAATTCTCGGATCATTTCCTCCCCTCTGCCAAATCTGTCTTTTGAAGCACTGCTCACATCTCCCCATCCGTGTGGGGCAGCACTAGGCTATCTGGGCTCTGTTTCACTTGTTTACTCTTCTCATCCCTTTTACTGTTTTCTATGTGTTTTTGTATCTCATAGCTTCTCTCGGCTTCCTTACATCATCTTCTCTCCTGGTCCTCTCTCCATCTCTTCTCTCTTCTGAGGGCTTCTCGCCCATTGTTGCTGAAGTTCCTGGGAGTCCAGTCCTCTGACTCTCTTTTCTCTCACCACTTTAATGAGATGATGATTTCATTTAGATTCTCTGCCTAAGTACTA